TCCACCCCGGGTCTTGCAAGGAGATCACGGAATCACAAAAATCACAGAACGTTGCTCCAAACCCCATCCAACCTGGCCTTGAACACTTCCAGGACTGGAGCAGCCACAATTTCTCTGGGCAACTAAAATATCAGGAAGCAGCACAGCCCAAGCACCCAGCCAGCCCTAACAAATCCCTCCTTTTACCTCTGCCCCCTCGGGAGCTGGAAGATCTCCTGCCAGATGGAGAAGAGCCCCTTGTTTTGGTCCTTCAAGCCAATCTTCATTGTCTGCACCATCTGCATGTTCAGCTCCTTCTGCCCTCGGCCGTGCAGGAACTGCAATGTGAGTGAGGGGCTGGGGGGGGGCACAAAGGGAGGGGGGATTCCCACAAATCTGGGGGTCCCAGACACAGTGGCACCTCCCCCTTCCTCCATGTGCAGGGTTGAAATAGCACAGGGGACAGGGTGGGTATTTTAGGGCTCTGCCTAGGACAGAGTTCTTTCCCCTCCATGCCCATCTGAGGCCAGAGCTCCCCGTGTCCCCCAGCCCCCCGGTGACCCCGGTACCTGCAGGGTGTTGATGCAGGAGCGGATGTCGTTCTCCGTCTTCTCGCACAGGGCCAGCAGTGCCCCCGTGTCCGCCCGCATTCCCTGCTGGAGGGCGATCTGTGGGGGCAGGACAGGGGTCAGCAGGGAGGGCTGGCCAGCCAGGGGGGTCAGGGGATGCTCAGCTGTGCCACACCTCGCTGAGCCGCTGGGCGAGCCGGGCCGGGGCCGTGCGGGGGAAGTGCAGCAGGAAGGATTGCTGGCGGAGCGGGCGCAGCGCCGGCACGTACCTGGCAAGGGAGCACAGGGCTCTGAGTAAGAAGGTCCCCCCTGAGCCCCTTTTTCTCCAGGCTGAGCCCCCCCAGCTCCCTCAGCTGCTCCTGGTGCTCCAGCCCCTTCCCTAGCTCCGTTCCCTTCCCTGGACACGCTCCAGCCCCTCAAAGTCTTTCTTGTCATGAGGAGCCCAGAACTGCCCTCAGGATTTGAGGTGCTCCACTCAAAGGGAGACACCAACAGCCACCACCTCCTCACTCAGGGCAGGGTCTCAGCTCTCCATCCCCCCAGACACACAGGTGACACTCACTGGTCGTTGCAGATGCAGATGATGGGCCTGAGCAACAACCCACCCTCACGCTGCCGCCTCCGGCCCGCGCCGGCCGCTCCCTCTCCTTCCACGTCCTTGCGGTGGATGATGTTCAGCAGCACGCTGATGGACGCCTTGGGAAAACAAATCGAGGGCAGAAGGGATGAATTCCTGCTGCTGAGAGGCAAGAACCAGCTCGTGGAACAGGGGGTGAGCTGCTAATGGGGGAACAGTTAAGGGGTTAGTGCCGGAGGTGGCCGGGGCTCACCGCGGGCGCGCCGTCGATCTCGTCGATGATGAGGCAGTTGGGCTTCTCACCGGCCCCCAGCACCGACCTCATCTGCGTGGCAGCTTCGATGCGGGTCTTGAACACCTCGGGGCTGCGGTCATCACTGCAGGGAAGGTGTGCCAGGTTACTGTGGCATGGGGTCGGCTCTGGCACGGGATCACCTCCAGCACGGGATCACCTCCAGCATCACCCCGGGGACGCCATCACCTCCAGCATCACCTCCAGGACACCATCACTTTTGGGACAGCATCACCCCCAGGACACTGTCACCCCTGGGTATGACCCCGGGTCCCCTCTGGCCTGGCAGGGCCTCACCTGGCGTTCATCTCCACGGCGTTGTACCCCGCATGCCGGGCGATGACGTGGGCCAGCGTGGTCTTTCCCAAGCCAGGGGGGCCACAGAGCAGGGCTACCTGTGGCACAGAGGGCAGGTCAGCCTGGCAGGGCTTCCTCCAGCTCCCACCAAGCAGGGAATGACCTGCTCATCACCCTGCTGGCAGGATGAGGGGACCCCCCAGCACCATCCTGCGTTGCTCACCTTGTATTTGGGTCTCTTGTGCTGGTCCAGCTCAGCCTCCAGGATCTCCTCTGTGAGCTGCACCTTCGTTTTCCACTTATTTGGGTGCTCCTTGGAATGGCTGAATGGGGGACGAGCTGCACTGCTGGGCTTGCCCTTCTTCACAGCATTCTCCTTCCCGAACACGACCGTGTCCCAGAGCTTGAGCCACTTCAGCAGGCAGCGGTTTGTGTACTGCAGGTGGGGGAAGCGGGAAAAATCCATGGAACCTTGGAAGGATCTGGCAGAGGACAGAGGAAGGCTCTCCTCCAAGGGACAGGCTGCTCAGGGCTCCCTCTGCCATCTCCTGGGACAGCATGGGAATGGTGCTCCTCTTCCCAGCTCAGCCACCATCCCACAGGGGAACCCAGGCCTAAGTCACGTCAGCCCCATCCCTGCTGCCCCTCCTCTGTCCTGGCTCAACTCAGCACTTCTCAGCCTCTTCCATCATTTCCAACTCCCTGCAAAACTTCTGATATTCAAAAAAACCTCCCAAACTAGCCCACAATTCCTGGCTAAAGTCCTCCCAGCCTTTTTTGTCTTGTTCTGGTCACATTTCCCAATCCCTTTTGTTAGAAAGTCCACAGCCTGCAGCTGAAACACTGCCATCCCAAGCTCTCCAGGACTCAGGACTGCTCCCAGGAAGGGCCAGCACTTCCAAAGGCAACACCCTGATCCCACAGCATCGAGTTACAGAGGTGCTAAACCCCTCCCAGTCCAAGCCCCCCCTTCTCCCAGCCCCTCACATCATCACTCAGCAGCTCTATGTAGCGCCGGGGGGTGAACTTGTCCACCCAGAGGCAATGGGGGGCAGATTCCTCCTCAGGATCCATGTCCCCACCAGGATCCAGGCTCTCAGTGCTGGGCTCGCTCTCAAGGCAACTGCAAGAAAGAATTAACTTGCCCCAAAGCACCCAGGGAGTCAGGGAAGGGCTGGGAATTACACCCAGATTTCCCAAAGAGGCTCCTCTGCTCGCAGGTCCCAAAAATCTGGACCCCGTGGAGCGTCTTGGGAGGCACATCAGGCAGCATGGCAGGGACAGGATGGGAGCTCATCCCAACATCTCACCTGTTTATGATGTCTGTCAGCTGCTGGGACACCTTCTGAACGTGCCTGAGACGCTGGAGCACCGAGAGAGGGAGAGCAGGGTCAGGGGTACCCCAGTGACCCACGGCTGGGGGAACAGCGATTTGGGAGCCACTCCTGGGGTATCAGGAAGGGCAGGGAAAGACAAGGAAGGTCGGTGTGAGATGTGGTACCTCTTGGTTCACCTGTTCCTTCAGATAGGAGAAAGGGACCCCCAGCAGGTGGAGCGGCCTCCGTGCATTCCAGCCCAGGGAATCTGGGAGCTGTGGGGACACAGCACAAACAACCCCCTCCTGAACCAGCTGGAGAACACAGGGAAGCAAACCCAGCCTGGAGAGCCCCCCTCACCTCCACCCCTGTCCGGGAGGGATCATCCCTCAGCACCAGGAAGACCCTGGTGCCCTGGCTGGAGGTCACATTGATGTAATCCTCCAGGATGGGTGGTCTCCTGAGAACCCACTTCTTTTCAGAGGGTGGTGTGGTCTGCAGGGGGGTCATGCCACTCATCTCCAGGTGGTTCGAGCTGGAAAACACCAAATTCCTTTAGCAGGGGTGAGGAAAACAGCCCTTGGACCCCTTGAAGGTGGGGGCCAAGGGCCCTTTCCCTCGCTCCTGCTAAAAATGGGGTTCAAGGTGGCCAACCTGGTGTTCTGAGGAGCAAGAAGCGCCTCTGGGTCCCCATCCCAGGAGACATCAGGAGCCAACTCATCGTCTGCACCAAAATCGAGCTTCTTCACGGCCTCCAGGCGCTGCCGCTTCGGCTTCGGGGCTGGGAGAGAGGCCGGGGACGGGGGCAGAGGAGCATCGCGGCTCAGGGAGGGCGGTACCGGGGTGCTGAGCGCAGGGGGGGATACCGGGGGGATACCGGGGATACCGGGGATACCGGGGATACCGGGGGATACCGGAGGATACCGGGGATACTGGGGGATACTGGGGGATACCGGGGATACCGGGGATACTGGGGATACTGGAGGATACCGGGGATACCGTGGGGATACCGGGGGATACCGGGGGATACCGGGCCGGCAGCGCCGGGGACCGGCTCCAACCTACTGTGGGGTCCGGCGGGCGCTGGGGACTCGGCGGGGGCACTGCCCCGCTCCCTCTTCCTGCACGGGGAGTGCCCGGGGGCCTCGGGCTCCTCTGGCCGCTCCTTCCTGCCCCGGAACTGCGAGACTTTGGGGCGGGCGGGCGGGGACGGCTCGTCTGCAACGGGGGCAGAGCTCCGGTGAGCGGCCACGCAGGGCCACGCCCCGCACGGCCATGCCCCCACTCCCGCATCCCGGCGGCAGCGCCCACCTCCGAGCTCCGCCAGCACCTCCAGCTCGGCGGCGAAGCGCTCGTAGAACCCATCATCGGCAGCGCCATCAGCGCCCGCCATGGGCCCCGCGCACCGCCCCCCGGCCGGTGGGGCCGTGGGGCGGCCGCGCCGCTGATTGGACGCGACGCGCGGCCCGGGCCGGCGGGGGCGCCGCTGATTGGACGTGATGCTTTGCCCGGGCCGCGGGGGCGGCGCTGATTGGCTGCGGCGCGGCCCGGGCCGATGGAGGCGATGTAGCCGCGGCCGCCCGGGAGCGCCCGGGACGGCGCCGCAGGTGGGGCGGGGCAGGAGCGGGGCCGGGGTCTCGGGGCGGCGCGGGTCCCCTCCCCAGCGTGCCCTCCACAGTGTGCCCTCCACAGTGTGCCCTCCGCCGCGGCTGTGTCCCTTCCGCAGTGTCCCTTCCGCCGTGTCCGTGTCCCTTCCGCCGTGTCCCCGCCGTCGCGTCCCCTCTCCCCTCCCCAGCGCCCCGTTCACCCAACCGGAGCCGCCGGGATCGCGGCTGGGCTCCAGCGGGGAGCGCGGGGACGGTGGCGGAGCTGTGCGGTGTGACAGCGGCGCGGCTGCGGGACCGGGGCCGTGGCACCCGCACCGGTGGGACCCGCGCCAGCACGGGGTGACACCGGGGGGGGCTGCGGGACACGTGCAGGGTGACATCGGTGTGACACCAGGCACACGCAGGGTGACGCTGGTGTCCCTCTGGGCCGAGCAGAGTGGCACTGGTGTTGCTCTGGTCCTGTGCAGGGTGACACTGGTACCACGCAGCACCAGAACCTCTCTGGTCCTATGGGGTGCCCCTCTCCTGGCCCTGCTCCCAGCCCGCCCTGCCTGGGTCCCATCAGTGCCCGAGGTGCTGTCCCACCCCCGTGACACCCACCCTGCAGTGGGGGCTCCCCCCACCCCTCTCAGCCCAGTTCCCACCTCACTCCCGCAGGGCGCTGGCCATGGAGCCGGGCACCATCGACAACCTGTCCATCCTGTACCAGAGCTCCGACTTCATCGTGGTCAACAAGCACTGGGACATCCGCATCGACAGCAAGATGTGGTACGAGACCCTGACCCTGCAGAGCCAGCTCCGGCACCGCTTCCCCGAGCTCGCCGACCCCGACACCTACTACGGCTTCAGGTGAGCGGCCCGGTGCCCACCCGGGCTGTGCCCGCGGCTGGGGACACCCACAAGTTCCCCAGGATGTTCCTCCACGCCTGTCTCCTCCCCAGGTTCTGCCACCAGCTGGATTTCTCCACCAGTGGGGCCCTGTGTGTGGCTCTCAACAAGGCGGCGGCGGGAAACGCCTACAAGTGTTTCAAGGAGCGCCTGGTGACCAAAGCCTACCTGGCCCTGGTGAGCCCCCCATGCCAGGGCCTGCTCGGGGCTGCCCTTCTGGGCAGGCTGGGCACCTCTGCTGGGAGGCTGATGGGGTTCCTGCAGAAGGGAAGGCTCCAAGGACACCTGCGAGCCCCTTGCAGGGCCTAAAAGGGCTCCAGGAGAGCTGGAAAGGGACTGGGGACAAGGGATGGAGGGACAGGACACAGGGAATGGCTTCCCACTGCCAGAGGGCAGGGTTAGATGGGATATTGGGAAGGAATTCCCCCCAGTGAATTCCTCACCCAGTGGAAATTCCTCACCCAGTGAGGGTGGGCAGGCCCTGGCATCAGGTTGACCCAGAGAAGCTGTGGCTGCCCCATCCCTGGAAGTGTCCAAGGCCAGGTTGGACAGGGCTTGGAGCAACCTGGGATAGTGGAAGATGTTCCTGCCAAGGGGTTGGAACTGGAACTCCACGTGCCTTAAGGTCCCTTCCAACCCAAACCATTCCAGGATTCTGTGATCCTATGAGTTGCAGCTTGGTCTCTGCTTCCTGCATCCATCTGGAGATGCCTGTGCCACGTGCTCTAGGAAAACCCTGCTGGAGCAGGGAGACTGGACCAGGTGTCCCCACTGTGGTGTCTCCCAGCCTTTCCCATTCTGTGATTCCGTGATTCCTGCCATCGTGGGGGTGGTGAGGAGCACATGCCAGAGCTCAGTTCCAAACCACCTTTCTGCCGCCAGGTGAGGGGCCACGTCAGCCAGAGCCGGATGACGATCCGCTACGCCATCGGGAAGAACACCACGGAGGGCAGGACCCACATGATGTGCATCGACGGCACAGAGGGTGAGCCCCCCTTCCCTGCACTGCCCAGCCCCCTTGAGCCTCGCTAGGGGGTGCCAAACCCCTTTGGATCTCGTTGCAGGCTGTGAAAATCCCAAGCCTTGCCAGTCGGAGCTGATCGTGCTGGAGCACGGATCCTACAGCGGAGACCCCGTGACCAAAGTGCTGCTGCAGCCCCTGACAGGTGGGGGTTGCGGTGGGGGCTGCAGCTCTGGGGGGCTCTGGCGTGGAAGCAGAGCCTGGAAAGAGATGAGGGAAGCTGAGAATTGCCAGGCTCAGGGGGCACAAGTGTTACCTGGTGCGTTGTCACCTCGTGACAGGGCTTCAGGGACAACCTGTCCGTGATCCCTCCACTCCTGCTCTCCCCAGGGCGGACTCACCAGCTGCGGGTTCACTGCAGCGCCATCGGCCACCCCATCGTGGGGGACTTCACGTACAGCCTGGGCCAGGACAGCAGGCCCTACAGGATGATGCTCCACGCCTACTACCTGCGCATCCCCACGCGCGGCGAGCTCATCGAGGTGCGCGCGCCCGACCCCTTCGTCCCCGCCATGGACGGCAACTGGGAGCCCCAGCGCGTCACCCGCCGGCTGGAGGACACCATCCAGGAGCTCAAGGACAAGGTGACGCAGGAGGAGCAGGAGCAGCAGGGCCAGGAGGCCGTGGGTGGTGGTGCCGAGGAGGAGCAGCCCCGGAGCGAAGCCGGCAGCGCGGAGCCGGAGGAGCGGCGGGCGCGGTGCCAGCAGTGGTTGGCAGAGTGGGCTCTGGAGTGAGCACGAGCCGTGGCCCTGCCTTTCCTGCTCCATCCTTGTCCCAGTGGGTCCCCTCGGTGCCCAGCGCTGACTCCACGCCTGCCCTTCCCGTATGCCAAGGCTTCCCTCGCTCACCGGGCTGCATTAGGCAGATTGATCAGCGATTGGGGGGGGTTGGTTTTTAGTGTCCATCACCCATCTGGCCATGGGATGCCCCTTCCCCACTTCTGGGCCTCAGCAGCAGGGCCAGAGTCACACACCAGCTTAGAGTGACCCCAAAGCTTTCCCTGCCTGTCCTGGGGCTCGGGCCCAGCCGGGGCAGCACAGACACTGCCACTGCCGTGGGCATTCCCAGCAGCCCTCCGTGCGTGGATGCTGAAGGGCAGCCCAGCACAGGGAGGGCAGGACATCCCTGTCCCCCATTCCCTTCAGTCCAGCTGCTGCACTCACTGGCACACGTGTGGGAGGTGGGACACTGTGGGGCTGGAGCAGAGGCTGGGGGCACCGACAGCCCCCCAGTTTTGGGGGTGCTCCAGGTGTTTGGCCCACGGAGATGGGCTGGGATGGGCACAGGAGACGTCCCTGCCTGCCACCAAAGTGCTGCCCATCCCTGCCCCACGCTCCCATCCTCCCTCAGCCCTCCCATGGGGTTTTTAGAGGTTTGGTGAAGGTGAGAGGGTTTTTAAACCTTTTTCAATTTTCTAGGGGAAGAGTCTAGTCTTTTAGGGGTTGGAAAATACGGGTGGTCTCAGAAATGAGGTATTTTTAGTATTCCTGTGGTTGGAGAGCCAGCAGCCCAAAGCTTTTTTTAATGGATTTTATTATTCCTTCTACTGGCATTGCCTTTCCTGCTTTTATCCTGGATGTGGGGGGTGTAACCCCTGCTGAGACAGGTCAGAGGACTCGAGCCCCTTGCTGCTTACCCAGATGAGTCCTGGTTCCTGATCCCGTGGTGTGGCTCCTGATCCCATGGTGTGGCTCCTGGTTTCCACAGGGTGCCAGAGGCAGGTCCTTTGGGTGAACACTTTGGGAAGGCTCTGGAGCAGTAGGAGATGGATGAAGCTGAAAGAAAGGCTGATGTGGTGGCTCAGCTCTGCTGGCGCTCAGCTTTGCAAGATTCCAAGGAGAGTTTGTTTCTCTGGAAGTGCCCTTGCTTTGCTGGTCATCCTGCTTTGCTTTGCCTTTCCCACCCTGCTCGTCCTCTCCAGCCCACGGAGGACATTTGGGAATGAGAACAGGACAGCTGGGCAGGGACAGAGGGGCTGGAGCCCACTGCACACACAGCCCCACCCCATGGAAAATGCACCTGGCAGGGGTTTCACACAGCTGAGATTCCCACTCTGAGGGGGAATAAAATGTCACAGCCCTCTCCCCGTGGGTGAACACACCCTGCAGGTCACCAAAATCCCCGGGGGAATTGCATCACCCATCCCTTGTGTCCCTGGGTGTGAGTTCACTGTGCTTTTGTGGCTTGGTGCCACCACTGCAGGGGGGGATGCTCTGAGGGGCCAGCCCTGGGCTCCTGAGCTGGTGGCAGAGGGCTCAGGGTGGGTTGGAGGAGCAGGAGACCCATCTCCCTCCTCCCAAGCCCCCTCCCTGCCCATCCCACGTCCCAGGAGTGGCCGGGAAGGGAGAGGCAGCCGCGGGCAGGTCCCGGAGCTGTAAATTACCCTCATCAGCCTGTTTGCCAAAGAATGAAAGGGGGGGTGACGTGCGCGGGAGGTGCTGAAAAGTGCCACGGGAGATTTGCGTGTCACAGGTGGGACGCAGCCTGCCCTTCCCGCGGGGCTAGCTGGGAATGTCCGGGATGGGGTGGATCACCGGGCTGGGACGTGGGGACACCGATGGCCCATCCCTGCTGGGGGCTGTGTCAAGGACACCCCCCCCTCCTCCCCAGCACCCATCGGCCTTCGTGTGCTGCACTTTTACCCAACACCACAGACATAAATAGGTGTTTTCCTTACCCTGCGGAGAGTGTTTTCCAGGTGCCCTTCCCGGCATCCCGCCCTGCTCCCTCCTCTGTGCCGGCACTGCCTCGGGGCATTGGCTGCGAATCCCCCCGCGCTGGGGCGCGTGTTGTGATGTTCTGTACACGTGGCGGTCCCCGTGTTGTTGCCCCTCACTGTATTAAACGTGTCTCTGCTCTCCACCCCCTGTCTTTCCATCCAACGCGGCTCCGGGGGCTTCCAGGAATGAGCCCGGACCGGCCCAGCGGGACCGGCCCCGGGGCTCCAACCCGGCCGACCTGCTGTGTGAGCACCGCTCGGCGAGTCCATCCTCCCCCTGCTGCTGTGCCCTGGCCGAAACCACCGGGAAGAGCCAGCCCTGAGCCCTCCCGGCTTTAGGAACAGAGGTGGCCGAGGACGGTGGAGGCAGCTGGGGCAGATGGTGGTGCCACATCCTGTCCCTGCCAGCTGGGATTGTTCCAGGCCGAGAAAAGCTCCTAATTTGGGAACACCTGGCAAGGAGGTGGGGAGCAGCCCCGGGGCTGACAGGGTTTAGAGTGTGCACAGGGAAATCAGTCACTCCTGGTTTGATGATGGGATGCTCCAAGGACTGGAGCCTCTCGGCTCTGGAGCCAGGCTGGGACAGCTGAGGGGGTTCACCTGGAGAAGAGAAGGATCCAGGGACACCTGAGAGCCCCTTGCAGGGCCTAAAGGAGGCTCCAGGAGAGCTGGAGAGGGACTGGGGACAAGGGATGGAGGGACAGGACACAGGGAATGGCTTCCCACTGCCAGAGGGCAGGGATAGATGGGATATTGGGATGGAATTCTTCCTGGGAGGGTGGGCAGGCCCTGGCACAGGCTGCCCAGAGAAGCTGTGGCTGCCCCATCCCTGCAAGTGTCCAAGGCCAGGTTGGACAGGGCTTGGAGCAACCTGGGCTGGTGGAAGGTGTCCCTGCCCATGGCAGAATGAGATGAGCTTTAAGGTGCCTTCCCACCCAAACCATTCCAGGATCCTGTGATTTCTCTGTAACTCCTGAACACCAGCAGTCATTCCCACGGTTTGAGCAGCTGGAAAAATGAGTGAAGACCCAAAGGAATTATTTGCAGTCTTCAAGACTGAGAGATTTTTTAAAGACTACAAACCTAGGTGGCAAGGGCAGAAAGCAGCTGGTTGAGGGGAGGGAGCATTTCTGGCCCACCTGGCACAGGGAGATGCAGTTGGAGCCCACAACTGACCTGCTGAGGTCCCAAGAAAGGGACATGGGCTCCTTGGCACTTTCAAGTTTAGGGTGGATCCTCCTGAGGGTGTTTCAGGGTCAGTTTTAAGCTCTGTGGGGACACAGTGGACTTGGTGACCCACAAAGGGGCTCCAGAGTGTCCCTGCCCTCCTGCTGCAGCCAACCCCTGCCCAGCCAGCCCGAGGCAGGGGCCGTGTCCCACCAGCATCCTCATAGCAAACAGGTTCCTGTAATTTTGCCACTGCAACAGGAGCTATTTTTACAGTAAATCCTTCCAAAATAGAAACCAGCAACACCCGCGGGCGGCGGCCGAGCCCTGGGGCTGCAGGACCGGTTGGGGGACGGGGCTGGGGCCAGGACACAACTGGGAGCACTGGGGGGAAGGACAACCCCCCTTGGCACTGTGCCAGCTTCTCCAGGGACCCATGGAGAAGCCTGGTACCCCAAAATCTCGCCGAGAAGGGGGTGCAACCTTGCTGCCAGCCCAGCCCCCCACTCCACTCTGACCCTTCCCTTTTCCCGGGATAAATGCTCAGATAAGGTTTGTGCTCACGGCTCCTCCAGGCTGTCATCCCACAGCCTCAGGAAGGATTGGTTTCCTTTCTTTTTTTGGTCTCCTTCCTGGCACGTGCTGGATGGCATTTTGGAGCATGATCGGGGAGAAAGCTGTAAAAGAGGGAATGGGATTGTCCACGGTTATTGGGAAAAGGATGGACAGGAGGGAAGCAGCTCCCAGAGGGTGCTGAGCCCATCACTGAGCACTCATCTGTTCTGCACCCCAATTGCCCCACAAAATAAACCCCTGAGCACCTCAAAAGGATTTCCATTCACTGGGAGCACCTTCACCTCCCTCAGGAGCACAGAAATCACCAGCCCAGAGGATTTAACTCCTTCTGGGTTCGTTTTGGGTTCAGCTGAACGAGAAGTTCAAAGTTTCCTTTACGAGGAAAAAAAAAAAAAAAACACCAAAAACAACAAACCCACAAATCAATACCGGGGAGAAGGGAAGGAGGCTGACAAAACGCTGTTGAGAAACTGCCCCGTCACACCCCTGTCGGGAGCAACATCCCCACCCCGCACAGATAAGTGCCGAGCGCTGCCAGCGCTGCCCATCCCCGGCCCCACAGGGGGAGAGGACCTGCCCGGCTGAGACCTCGCCACGGAGCCAGATCCCCCCGGACAGAGAGCAGGAGAACGGCTCGGCACGGCCGCGGTGGGATTTGGGGAACACAAATTTATTTTGGGAGCAGGGATGGATTTATTATCGGGGGATCCAGGTGGGAGGTGTGGAGTGGGGTACAGGGGGAGGGAAACACCTGCTGGGGCTCCTCTGCTGGGCTACACTGGATTTCTCCCAGTGCCATGTGGATCAGGGGGATGGAAGGGGACCCCTTCCCTGCAGGGCACAGGCAGGAGCAGGGCACTGGCTGTCAGGGGAGACAAGTTATTGTGGAGTTTCTTTTGATGATGGGTGGAGAATTAAATCTTGTTTTCTGTTATATAGGATTCAAAATCTCTCCCTTGTCTGTGGGGGGTCTGTGCAGGCAGCACAGGGCACGGCTGGGAGCCCTGACCAACCCTGATCCCACAGCTCCAGCCTCAGCACTGGGTGAGGGAATTGGCTGCAGGACCCCCAGCACCTTCCAACTGCCTCACCCCCTGGACCCGCTCCGGGGACGGAGCCCCAGCCCCAGCACCATGGTGTGGGCAGCCCCAGCCCCAGCTGCCATCGCCCTCTGCCCCCGTGAGTGACACCTTGTGCCCCTAAAGCTGCTTTGGGACCCCCTTCCACCCCCAGCACCAGGGATGCCCCAGCCTGTGCTGCTCCTCCTGCCCATCCTGCTCGGCTTTGGCACTCCCAGCCTTCTGCTCCCCTCAGCATCCACAGGAGATTTTCCCAAGGCCAGATTTATCCCTTTTTGACTTCCAAACCCACCCAGAGGGACCCCGGGGTGCCTGGGCTGGGAGCTGCTCTCTGCAGAGAGGTTTTACTAAACATCATTAAATTATCAGAGAAAAGGCTCTTCCCAGACTTTAAACCTGGAGCAGCTGTGGAACAGCCCCTGACCACCTGTCCGTCCATCCAGGGATGTTTCCTAACCTGCTCCTGCTTCCTTGCAGGTGTCTCCACAAAGCTGGTGAAAGCTGCAGTGGTGAGTCTCCCCCGGCTCCAGGCCTTTCCCAAACATTTCATTTGGTGCTGGAGCTGCCGTGGTTCCCCCAGGCCTCACTGCAGGGAGGCACAGCCATGGCCTCTCCGCTGTCCCCTGTGCAGCCCCAGCCCATGGCCTGTCCCTGTCCCATCCCATCCCTCACTCACCCACTGCCCAGCAGCTTCCCTGCCCTGCTCCCCAACCAAGGGCCTGGCACCCTGGTGGGTTCCCAGCCCCCCTGGCTCTGGGGAAGCAGGGACAGACCCACTGAAGGGTCCCCACTCCTGACAGCGGCTGGGGTGGCTTTTGTCCCCACACATCACCAGGGCAACCTTCAGCCAGGGCAGATCCCATTCCCTGCATCCAAAATCCCTTCTTCCCACTGCTTGCCCGGGCTGAGCATCCCCCACCCTGTTCCCAGGCTGCCCTGCTCATTGGAGCTGTCCTGTGCACCGCTGAGCAGCACCCCGAGTAAGTACAGCCCCGGCTGGGGTTGGGGGGGTGGGGGGGTTTTGGGGTGCTCTTGGGCAGTGGGGCTGGTGTGGGTGAATGTTCCATTTTCCCCACATCCACGCCCCAGCTGCCGTGACGGGTCCCTCGGCTGGGGAGGATTTACAGCCTCGCGCAGCCGGTTCCGTGCCTGTGCCCGGGCAGGGATTCCGACTGCTTTGGCTCCTGCTGGAGCACAAACACACCAAGAATTCCCTTTCCTTTACGGGGCTGACGCAGATGCAGAGGGAGCCTCCCCCGAGCTGGAATCCAGGCTCTGCTGTTTGTCCCTCACCCAAATCCCGGGACACGGGGGGCACCTCTGCCACCCCCCAGCTGTGGGGATGGGCATTAAGGGACATTCTCGTAATACCCCGTGTTATTCCCACTTACCCCGCACAGCCGCGGTCAGGGCAGCCTGCTGGGACATTCCCAGCAGGAGAAATCCCTGATCCTCCTCAGGACCTTTGCAGCAGCAGCAGCTTCATCTCATCCCAGGCCGAAGCGGAGCACGGATGGTGAGTGTTGGCCAGTCCAGAGCAGTTCAGAGCTCTTGGGGAGGGAAAAAAAACAACCCTGTGCTGGTGGGCATCTGGGTGCTCCCAGGAGAGGGGAGGCACAGGACCAGGCACAAAGCTGTGGGATTCCCATGAAGCGACTGGGAGGTGGGGAAAGGACCTTCCAGCACAATGGGGGAGGGTTGCTCTTACCTAGGAGCAGGAATATGGCAGCAGCAGCTGGGAAGGAGTGGGACAAGGTGGGATATCCCCCAGGCAGGGTCAGCACCAGGTGGAGAACGCTGCAAGATCAGAGGATGCTCGTGTAGATGACCTGGAGAGTTTTTACTTGCCTGTGACAGGACAAAGTTACAAGTGGGCTGCAAAAACATCCCCAGTTATTCTTCAGGAATAACTTTAGGGAACGAAAGCAGATAAGGCTTCATGGGCTGGGGACCCAGGGGATGGGAGAGGATCCGCAGTGGCTCAAGCCACGTTATTGCGATTCCCTGCTCGTTCACCAAGGCTCTTCCAAGAGCTGGGCCCCATGGCAGGACCTGGGCCAGGTGGGAAGGGGACACAAACCATCTGCCTGACACAACTCCTCGCCCACAGGGTGCTCACCTGAGCTCGTCATCACCACCACCAGCATCGCCATGGACCCCATCTCGGTGCTGACTTACAGCCCTGAGGAGTTCAACCTGTGCCTGAGCAACGACGTCTTAATGGAAAACCTGGAGGCTCTGCTGAACCTGCCGTTACCTGTGACGTTCTACGAGGTCATGAAAGAGAAAGTGGACCAGGTAAGGAGTGGCACAGGGCAGGAGGCCCCGGCAGCCCCTCAGCAGGATGGGCACAGGTCAGGATGGGCAGGACCCGCTGCAGGAACGGGCACCAATGGATGTGGGGATGAAGGTACCCGAGCGAGTCCTCCACGCTCATTCCTGCCCTATTTTCCCTTCCCTCTCCCTGCTTTGGGCCCCCTGGCCGGGCCCCACAGGTTTACCCGTGGGGGATCCCGGAGGAGCAGCTGAGGCGCCTGGGACAGCTGGCCCGGCGGTACTCGGAGGAGGAGATCAGCCGCTGGTCAGTGACCTCCAGTGCCACACTGGCAGCCCTGCTCGACCCCTCGGGAGGGAACTGGAGTGATTCCCAGGTAAATCCACGGCAGCAGCGGGTGATGGGTGCTGGGGAACCCAAACTGGGCCTGCCCGTGCCCCAGCCCGGCTTGGGGCGAAGGTGTTTGGCACCACCCCTTCAGCAGGAGCTTCTTCCTGCCCTCCGTGTGTCCCACCACGTGCCCCATGCCCTGCAGGTGCAGCAGCTGGTCAGCAGGTACCTGACCCTGGGGGGCACCCTGACGGGGCCCTTGCTCCAGGACATCGGGGGCAGGTGCCTGTGCCTTCTGCGGGAGGAGCAGATGGAGCAAATACCCGCCGAAGCAATCGGGTGAGGCGCTTCTGAGGGGCACTGCCCAGTCCTGTGAGACCCCTGGCACCGCGGGGAAGTGGGTGGTGGGATGGAAGCCCCCCCCAGCTCTGTTTTGGGTCACGGTGGGATCCCGGATCCCCCTCCCAGCTCCTGCCGGAGCCCCTGGTGGGTGGGGACACCCTGCACGTCTCCCCAGGCCAACAGAACACTTCAGCTGTGGGTCGGGGTGCTGTCCCTCTCTGAGCTGTGACCTTCCCCTTGCAGGACTGCTGGACAGTTAAAGATCTCTGCGTGCTCCCAAAGCAAGAAGGAGCTTCTCTACAGGAAGGCCCGGGAGGCCTTTGCCAGCCTGGCTGGCACCCCCAGCCTGTATTACTGTCGGCTCCAGCCCTACCTGGGTAGGTGCTTCCACCCTCCCCCTGCCTCCCACCACGAGGTTTGCCCTCTCTTCCTCATCCAGGGAGGTTTGGCCATGCTAGGACGGGTCTGGCAGCCTCCAAAACCTCCCCAGAGGTGCTGGGATGGTTTGTACATGTCCAGGTGCCCCACGTGCTCTCTTTAAGGTGGAGCTCCAGCAGAGGACCTGAAATACTTGGCTAATGCTGGCAAGACCATAGACATGGATATGGACACCTTCCTGTCCCTAAATCCCAAGGAACTGCAGGTACAGCCCCTGCCCCTCTCCCTTCTGCAGGGCAGGGCTGGCCCAGGGCTGAGCAGGAGGTCTGAATCCCATCAAATCACCAATTCTCTGCTTTTTGACCTTTGTCAACTTTCCTTTGGAAGTTTTTCCCTGCTCTGCAGCCCCACTGGAAAAGCATCCCAGGGTGATGCTGGTGGCGAGGGTGAGCAAAGGGCGTGGTGTGTGTGTGTGTTGCAGAAACTCAGTGTCACGGACGTGAAAAATTTGCTTGGGAAAAACCTCTGGAAGCTGAAGGAAGCTGAGAACGAGCCCTTGGTGATGGGCTGGGTGCAGAGACAGTCCCAGCGGGAACTGGACCGAGTCCTGGGAATTGGCCTGCAGGGGGGGATGGAGGAACCCACGGGGACAATCACCCCTGCTCCCCCCACCACCACAGCCAGTGTCACCTCCAGAGCCACTGTCCCCACTGTCCCCACCCCTGCTCCTCCCACCACCACAGCCAGTGTCACCTCCAGAGCCACTGTCCCCACCCCTGCTCCCCCCACCACCACAGCCAGTGTCACCTCCAGAGCCACTGTCCCCACTGTCCCTACCCCTGCTCCCCCCACCACCACAGCCAGTGTCACCTCCAGAGCCACTGTCCCCACCCCTGCTCCCCCCACCACCACAGCCAGTGTCACCTCTAGAGCCACTGTCCCCACTGTCCCCACCCATGCTCCCCCACCACCACAGCCAGTGTCACCTCCAGAGCCACCAGCCCCGTGCCCACCACCCTTCCCACAGTCCCCAGCCGGCCTTGCCCCACCACCCCAGATATTGTCACCCCCACAGCTACTGTCCCCACCCCTGCTCCCCCCACCACCCCAGCCACTGCCACCTCCACTGCCCCTGTCCCTGTGCCCACCACCCTCCCACTGTCCCCACCCTGCTGCCACTCCCACCCCCGGCCACCCAGTCAAGCACAGTCCCCACCAGACCCCCACCCCGAGTGCTCTCAGCCCAACCTCCCCAAACAACACTAACCCCCCCACTGGGAGTCCCCCTGCCACCTCCACTGCCACCTTCACTGCCACCTCCACTGCCACCTTCACTGCCACCTCCACTGCCACCTCCACTGCCACCTCCACTGCCACCTCCACTGCCCCCTCCACTGCCCCTCCCGCTCTGAGCACCACCTCCATCGCCCCGTGCTCCACCCACCAGTCTCCCACCACAAATACATCCACCCCGTCCCCTGTCCCGCTCCTCCCCACCACCCTGGCCCCTGTCAACCCCAACACCACCTCTCCCAGCTCTGTCCCAGTCTCTGCTGTCACCTCCAGGGCCACCACCAGCACCGGTGTTGGTCCTGACCCGGCTGGTACCTCCCACAGCACCAGCTCCCCACTGGTGCCCGTGAGCACCCCAGCACCTGGGGGGACCACCCACCCTGCTCCTGCCACCCCCAGCACTGCCATCCCCAGCACCCACAGTGCTGCCAGCACCCCTGTCCCCCATCCCACCTCTGCTGCCACTGCCACCCCTGTCTCCAATCCCTCCTCTGCTCCCACTGCCATCCCTTTTCCTCATCCCTCCTCTGCTCCCACTGCCACCCGCACCGCCATCACCCTGAGCACCCACAGTGCTCCCAGCACTCCTGTCCCCCACCCCACCTTTGCACCCACTGCCACCCACAGCACTGCCCCCCCTGCCCCTCTCTCCACCTCTGCTCCCCCTGCCCCAGCCACAAACCCCCCTCCCCACAAGCCCACCCCACCTCCCAACTCCACCCTCTCCACCCAAAAGAGCATCATCTCCTCCACCCCTGAGGCCACCACAGTGCCCTGCCAGAGCAGTGCCCCTCCGGAGTTCCCCAGCCCTTCCTCCACCACCACCAGCGGTGAGGCCACCAAACCAACACCCGGGGCTGTGCCGGAGTCACCACAACCAACGTCCAACGGATACATCAACCTGCAGCCTGCGCCTGAGCCTGGTGAGGTGGGAATGTTCTGAGCCGGGAGAGGCTTAGGAATGATGGCAAGGCCGAGGTCTTCAGCAGTGAGCAGATGATCCACCTTGTTCCTGCTGGGTTCGGCACTGGCTTCACAGGCAGTGAGGTCCCTGTGCAGCCCCTGGAGCTGCCCTCAGGTCCTGTGAGCTCTCAGGTCTGCCCAGGAGCACCCTGAGGTGTCTCCTCATCCCCCAGCACTGCAGAGAGCTGGAGCAATCCTGGAGTAATCCTGGAGTAATCCCGCTCCTGACAATCTCCATGTAGGGTTTGGCCTGCCCTATTTTAGCTGCCCGTGGTGTTCCTGAGTGCAAGCACTAAAATCTGAGCTCCTCTGCTCTGGCAGAGCTGCACCTGGAGCTTTAGTGGCACTGGGGACTCACTCCTGCCTTGTGCTGGTGAGAAAGCTCAGCCTGGGGACAGTGCCAGCTGGTGCAGGGCAGTGCCTGAGGAGCAGGTACAGGCAGTGGCACAGGCAATGGCTGAGAAGTGCTGTCCTGACCCATGGGATCCCCTGGGATCCCTGAATTCCAACCTCACTCTCAGCTCACACGTGCCCTGCCCCTGGATCATCCCATTGTTTGTGTTCTCCCCCCAGATTCAGGACCCAGCCTGTGCTCCTGCCTCGGCCACGTGCTGGCTGTCACCGTGGGGACCTTGCTGCTGCAGGGGCTGCTCTGAGCCCTCCCCTCAGCACCACACCCACCCCACTCCTCTTCATCCCCACCGCCCTGCGACACAACGGTGCTGGGAAATTCCCTGCTGGAAAAGGAGGAGAACTCCTCCATTGGATCCCAGCCCAGAGCGGGATTATTATTTCTGAGGCTGGGCAGCGAAAGGAGAACTGATGTTTTTCAGCCCAAGGAAGCCCCACGGGTACTCACTGGCAGTTTACTCCATATAGTGCAACCACCAGCAGTGCTGAGTGTCTGACAGGGCAATAACACTGGGCCCACTTCTACCAGGGACTTTCCTTCTAAGGAATCCCACTGGGATCTGTGAACCAGTGGGACAGCTCAGGGATTTGAGCCACTGGCCACTGCAAAAGCAGCAGAGCACGGCCCAGCAACGCAGCTGAGAGATCCCCAAAACTGCATTCACTTGCTGCATGAACTGCTTTTTGATCCAGATCTGCTCACACTCCACAAAGACTCTGATGGGATGATTCACTGAAGATCATTTACCTTGATTGCTGGTGCAATGCTATACAATAAAACATCAATCAGCTGGTTTTTTCCTAACCTTTGAGGTGTTTTGTACTTTTTCTAGCTTAGATCCAAAGTCTGCACTGACCAGGCTCCCCTGCTCTCATTCTGTAAAGCAATGACAGTAAATATTTATAACATTATAAATATATATCCCTCTTTCTCCTCCAGGCTCTCCTCCCTCGGGGAAAGGGGGATGTCAGGGGCTGGATACAGGTTAAACTGAGGCATTTTTTGGACAGAAATTCCCAATGAGTGTGGGGAAAAAAATTGTTTAAAACCTTCTCTAAAGTCCTTTCCCCTCCCCTTGAGGAAGATGAGAACACCCTCAGCTCTTAAAAGCTGAATAATCAACACCAAGGAAAAGTAACAAGCAGGTCTGGGGGCTCTGCCCACTCAATTTGGGCAGCCTGAAGGAAGAGCAGACAACAACTTTGCTTTAGCATTTTTTACTTAATTCCATGATTTATTTACAATTAGCCAGAAAATTTCCCTTCCACTCTGAGGTCTTGGCAGTGTCACAGGATCAGGCTCTGGGAAATGTCATTTTTAACCTGCAGAACACCACAAACCCCCCAGCAAAGCAAGCACGTGGTTTGGGTTGCAGTGATGTGGTTGGGGCTGACCTGGACTTGGGCTCTACCAAAGGCAAAGATGCTGCTCTGAAGAGTCTGGAATCTTCCCTTCAGACAGAACTGGGTTTTTCTCGAGTGATTTGAAAGACAAAAGTACCTAAAAGTGACTCCTGGGCTGATCCCAGTTGCCTGGTGCTCTGGACACCCCTCAGCCCCAGGCTGGCTGTGCCCACAGGCCTCAGAGCAGGTCACAGGATGGAGCCCCTGGTCTTGTTCCCTCTGGAGAGAAGATGGTCAGGACAAGATGGACACCATGAGGAAAGTGAGGAGCAGGGCAGGCAGGAGGTGCAGGGCCGTGGCCATGGCACCCAGAGGGGCTGAGGACGATGCTGGAGGACAAAGAGGGGCATTAGTGCAAAGGAATCAGAGACTGAACTGCTCCTCCACGGGGAAAACATCTCCTCATGCCCCATCCAGGGATTTCCCTGGCCTTTCTCATGGCCCCACCAAGCCAGAGTTTGGGGTTTGGAACTAGAAGGTCTCTTCCTACCCAAACCATTCTGGGACTCTGTGATTTTGAGCCCAAATCCAACACACCACAGAGGAGGAAGCCCTGGAGGTGTTGGCTCAGCTGGGATGTTCAGCCAGTGAGGATGTTCCTGTGAGATTACAGGACTGCTCCTCACATTGGCCCCAGGATTTGTCCCACAGGGTTTCAGGCTCCTCAGCAGAGCTGAACTTGCTGCCCCAGTTTTTCTCCTCGTTGTAACCCCAAACAAGTATTTCAAACCCAAGCCAGCCTTCAGAGGTCCTAAAAACACCCACCTGGGAATTTGGGAGTGACGAGGTTGATGTAGCCTTCCTGTGTTCCCCCTGTGAGCCCGATGTGCAGCTGATCCAGCTGGGATTGCTTCTGGACCTGGATCCACTCCCGGACAGGAGACCTGTACTGCCACTTGGCCAGGTCCTGCAGGTTCATCCCCAGCAGGCCCTGAACCTCAGAGGGTGTCAGGCTCTGGGAGGGATCACAGAGCAGGAGTTAGGGGTGGAAATGTAGGAATGGAAATTACAGACCTGGTCAAGAAATGACCCCTCTGGCCAAGGAAATGGTGAGGTTCCTGTTGGCAGGAGTGGGAAGAGCAAGGAAGACAAATCCCTGCCATGGTTCCCCCCGGGACAGTCTTCTCTCAGGGTCAGGGAATGAGCACGATGGCTCCTCCAAGACTGTTTCTGTTGCCCCCTGATGACAAGTCTCCTAAACTCAACTGGGGGCCCCAGTCCCTGCCCAAATCACTGGGATTTCTTCCAGGATTGATGGCATCACTGCCAAGAGTCTTGTTAGAAGATCTGTCACACAGTTGTGACCACAGTCCAGTGGACACCTGTCCCCTGCTCCTGCCACCAGTGCTATGAGCCCACTCTGGAGAAACTCCACTGGCTCAGCTTCCATCTAGGACTCCAAATGAGAAAGTTTCAGACCAGTTCTCCACTTTCTACCAGTCCAGCATCATTCTGAATTTGATGGCATGACTCCTGATTTCCATCAATGGACAGCCATCCAACTACTGAGCATAACACCAGGAATCCAACAATTCCACGATCCAACTCACCATCAAAGCATCTCTTCTCAAACTCACAAAAGTGCTTATGTTCATGTTCACGTTTTCATGGCTTAGAGCCTTGAGATCTTTACCAGGAGCCCCCTCTGGGACCAAAAAGAAGAAGAACATCAGAGCATGGAAGCCCCCAAATGAGCTGTGCTTGTACCTGCACAAGCTGGAGCCACAATGGTGGCTCCAAAATTTATTAGGAACGGGGCTCCTACCAGAGTCCCAGCTGCAAAATGTATGGATGCTACTCCTTTTTTTGTTGGGACTTATTGATGTGTTGGGAATTAAACCAAGCTGTGGCAATGCCAGACAACAGACAGAGGGGTGGGAAGAGTTTGCTCAGGTTGGGAATAAATTCTTGGCTTAACAGGGAGAAAAAAAACAATCTGGTTTGTGCCATGGAGAAGGGCTGGGAGAGAAATCAAGAGTTTGATTTTCCCTCTGACAGCCTGACAATTGATTTGGGCAGGCACAGAATGTCTCGACACTATTTTATGCCATCTGCAAGTTGGAAAGACAAACTTTGAACAACTTGGCTTTGAAACTTCCCAAATCTCCGGTGGATTTTGATAGCCATTCAGCTCGTGGCTGAGAGCCCTCCTCCCCTCATAAAGCACTGGATTTTACATACCCAGGTAAGGTAAAATCAGCTCATAGTAAGCAGGAAAGACGTGCTGGGCAGAGAAAGCTTGCTTGGCTTTCTCATACAGGAGGTCTTTGGTCTGCTGTGAACAGGCTGAAGGATTCAGAGACACCAGTCTGCAGAAAAACAAAGATTTAGGGTGAGAAAAGCTCTTTGTTACCCTCAACCTGTACAAATTTTCCCCTGTTCTGAGTATCTCTCTACATAGCACAGGTGACCCCCCTCTTCCCAGCAGGCAGATGATGTGTGGGGAGAAGCTGAGAGGGGAAATAATGGCTCAATTTCCTGCTCAGAAGGATTGGTCCTCAAAGTTGTGAAGGTTCTGATGGTGAACAACAAGTTTATGTGTCTACAAAGCTGCAATTAACTAGTTAATTTCATTTACCAGTCTTTCAAAGGAATTTAAACTGGAGAAGTCCAAGGAGTGGCACTTGAGGACATGGTTTAGTGGTGCTGGCTGATGGTTGGACTTGATGATCTTAAAGGTCTTTTCCAAACCTAATAATGATTCAGTGATTCTATGAAATAAAACTTAATTAATTTATCTTTTGCCTCCCCAGATAAAAGCAGAGCAATCTGCAGCCAGCTGAGCTGCCATAAATAGAGCTTGACTGAAAATCTGAGCCTTTTCTGGCGGGACAGGGACCAGCAGGATGGAGACTGGGAGGTCTAAATTTCCTTCCTAAATTTCTTTTTACTGAGAAAAAAAAAAAAAAAAAAAGAATTTGCACTTGCTGATGGGAAAGTGCTTTCCCAAGAAACCAAGAAATCCCAGTTTGTGGCTCACCTGAGGCTGCTGGGCTCTATGGCCTTCAGCTCCGTGGCGTTCAGCAGGCACACGTACGTCGTCCCGATGGCATCCAGGGCCGTGGCGTTCAAGGCATTGGCCAGCTTTACGTAGCGTTTAATCGCTGCTGAGGCCTGCAGACACGTTTAATTTGGTTACTGTGATGGAATCTGGAGTTGTGTTTTCACCCCCCCAAAGAAGAACGTGCGATAATTACGAAAATAACCCAGGATCGTTTCAAATCTGCTCGCCTGGAGCTCAGGGATGGATGGGCCACCCCCAACCCTGTGGGGCCAAGGGTGGCTCAACCATCTCGGAGCCCACTGGGTTAGTCCCAGACCAGCAGCTCTCAAAGCAGGAAGGGAACGCGAGCAGGAAAGCAAAGCCGAGGCCCTACCAGGGGGTCTGGGAGCTCATTCTTCAGGAAGGCAGCCAGGACATCAGCTGAGTTCATCTTCCACCTGGAAATCTCCTCAGGGGCTGATGAGAGGGATGAGGGGGCCCAGCTGGGAGAGGAGGCTCTCAGGATAACCATCAGGATACCTCTGTGGAAACACCACTGCTGTTGCTACAAAGTGGGGCTGAGGGAGCTGGGTTTTCAGTCTGGAGAAGAGAGGATTAGGTGAGGATTTTATTGCTGTCTTCAACTGCTTAATAGGAGATGGGAGGGAGGGTGGAGCCACGTTCCTCTCAGAGGTGCACAGTGAAGGCCAAGGCCCAACAGGCAAAGAAAATTCTGGTTAGGTATTAAGAAGTAGATATTTTTCACAATGAAGTGGTCAAACACTGGGAGAGGAGCCCCACTCCTTGGAAATACTAAGTTTAACCGGAGAAGTCCCTGAGCGATCTCATCTGTAAATA